ATTTATAGTTAATCTTGGTTAATTAGAAATTGATCAATGGCTTCAGAATAAGCTTTAAAAGAATAACTAGTTTGTTTCAGTATAAATCAGCCCCGTCCAAGGTGCCTTGGAAATCTGGAGGCGTTAGCTCTATAAATATATAAGTAATCTTGGTTAATTAGAAATAGATCAATGGCTTCAGAATAACTAGTTTGTTTTAGTATAAATCAGCCCCGTCCAAGGTGCCTTGGAAATCTGGAGGCGTTAGCTCTGTAAATTTATAGTTAATCTTGGTTAATTAGAAATAGATCAATGGCTTCAGAATAACTAGTTTGTTTCAGTATAAATCAGCCCCGTCCAAGGTGCCTTGGAAATCTGGAGGCATTAGCTCTGTAAATATATAGTTAATCTTGGTTAATTAGAAATTGATCAATGGCTTCAGAATAACTAGTTTGTTTCAGTATAAATCAGCCCCGTCCAAGGTGCCTTGGAAATCTGGAGGCATTAGCTCTGTAAATATATAGTTAATCCTGGTTAATTAGAAATAGATCAATGGCTTCAGAATAACTAGTTTGTTTCAGTATAAATCAGCCCCGTCCAAGGTGCCTTGGAAATCTGGAGGCATTAGCTCTGTAAATATATAGTTAATCTTGGTTAATTAGAAATTGATCAATGGCTTCAGAATAACTAGTTGGTTTCAGTATAAATCAGCCCCGTCCAAGGTGCCTTGGAAATCTGGAGGCATTAGCTCTATAAATATATAAGTAATCTTGGTTAATTAGAAATTGATCAATGGCTTCAGAATAACTAGTTGGTTTCAGTATAAATCAGCCCCGTCCAAGGTGCCTTGGAAATCTGGAGGCATTAGCTCTATAAATATATAAGTAATCTTGGTTAATTAGAAATTGATCAATGGCTTCAGAATAACTAGTTTGTTTCAGTATAAATCAGCCCCGTCCAAGGTGCCTTGGAAATCTGGAGGCGTTAGCTCTGTAAATTTATAGTTAATCTTGGTTAATTAGAAATTGATCAATGGCTTCAGAATAACTAGTTTGTTTCAGTATAAATCAGCCCCGTCCAAGGTGCCTTGGAAATCTGGAGGCGTTAGCTCTGTAAATTTATAGTTAATCTTGGTTAATTAGAAATAGATCAATGGCTTCAGAATAACTAGTTTGTTTCAGTATAAATCAGCCCCGTCCAAGGTGCCTTGGAAATCTGGAGGCATTAGCTCTATAAATATATAAGTAATCTTGGTTAATTAGAAATTGATCAATGGCTTCAGAATAACTAGTTGGTTTCAGTATAAATCAGCCCCGTCCAAGGTGCCTTGGAAATCTGGAGGCATTAGCTCTATAAATATATAAGTAATCTTGGTTAATTAGAAATTGATCAATGGCTTCAGAATAACTAGTTGGTTTCAGTATAAATCAGCCCCGTCCAAGGTGCCTTGGAAATCTGGAGGCATTAGCTCTATAAATATATAAGTAATCTTGGTTAATTAGAAATTGATCAATGGCTTCAGAATAACTAGTTGGTTTCAGTATAAATCAGCCCCGTCCAAGGTGCCTTGGAAATCTGGAGGCATTAGCTCTATAAATATATAAGTAATCTTGGTTAATTAGAAATTGATCAATGGCTTCAGAATAACTAGTTGGTTTCAGTATAAATCAGCCCCGTCCAAGGTGCCTTGGAAATTTGGAGGCATTAGCTCTATAAATATATAAGTAATCTTGGTTAATTAGAAATTGATCAATGGCTTCAGAATAACTAGTTTGTTTTAGTATAAATCAGCCCCGTCCAAGGTGCCTTGGAAATCTGGAGGCATTAGCTCTATAAATATATAAGTAATCTTGGTTAATTAGAAATTGATCAATGGCTTCAGAATAACTAGTTGGTTTCAGTATAAATCAGCCCCGTCCAAGGTGCCTTGGAAATCTGGAGGCATTAGCTCTATAAATATATAAGTAATCTTGTTTAATTAGAAATTGATCAATGGCTTCAGAATAACTAGTTTGTTTTAGTATAAATCAGCCCCGTCCAAGGTGCCTTGGAAATCTGGAGGCATTAGCTCTATAAATATATAAGTAATCTTGGTTAATTAGAAATTGATCAATGGCTTCAGAATAACTAGTTTGTTTTAGTATAAATCAGCCCCGTCCAAGGTGCCTTGGAAATCTGGAGGCATTAGCTCTATAAATATATAAGTAATCTTGGTTAATTAGAAATTGATCAATGGCTTCAGAATAACTAGTTGGTTTCAGTATAAATCAGCCCCGTCCAAGGTGCCTTGGAAATCTGGAGGCATTAGCTCTATAAATATATAAGTAATCTTGGTTAATTAGAAATTGATCAATGGCTTCAGAATAACTAGTTGGTTTCAGTATAAATCAGCCCCGTCCAAGGTGCCTTGGAAATCTGGAGGCATTAGCTCTATAAATATATAAGTAATCTTGGTTAATTAGAAATTGATCAATGGCTTCAGAATAACTAGTTGGTTTCAGTATAAATCAGCCCCGTCCAAGGTGCCTTGGAAATTTGGAGGCATTAGCTCTATAAATATATAGTTAATCTTGGTTAATTAGAAATTGATCAATGGCTTCAGAATAACTAGTTGGTTTCAGTATAAATCAGCCCCGTCCAAGGTGCCTTGGAAATCTGGAGGCATTAGCTCTATAAATATATAAGTAATCTTGGTTAATTAGAAATTGATCAATGGCTTCAGAATAACTAGTTGGTTTCAGTATAAATCAGCCCCGTCCAAGGTGCCTTGGAAATTTGGAGGCATTAGCTCTATAAATATATAAGTAATCTTGGTTAATTAGAAATTGATCAATGGCTTCAGAATAACTAGTTTGTTTCAGTATAAATCAGCCCCGTCCAAGGTGCCTTGGAAATTTGGAGGCATTAGCTCTGTAAATTTATAGTTAATCTTGGTTAATTAGAAATTGATCAATGGCTTCAGAATAACTAGTTTGTTTCAGTATAAATCAGCCCCGTCCAAGGTGCCTTGGAAATCTGGAGGCATTAGCTCTATAAATATATAAGTAATCTTGGTTAATTAGAAATTGATCAATGGCTTCAGAATAACTAGTTGGTTTCAGTATAAATCAGCCCCGTCCAAGGTGCCTTGGAAATTTGGAGGCATTAGCTCTATAAATATATAAGTAATCTTGGTTAATTAGAAATTGATCAATGGCTTCAGAATAACTAGTTGGTTTCAGTATAAATCAGCCCCGTCCAAGGTGCCTTGGAAATTTGGAGGCATTAGCTCTATAAATATATAGTTAATCTTGGTTAATTAGAAATTGATCAATGGCTTCAGAATAACTAGTTGGTTTCAGTATAAATCAGCCCCGTCCAAGGTGCCTTGGAAATCTGGAGGCATTAGCTCTATAAATATATAAGTAATCTTGGTTAATTAGAAATTGATCAATGGCTTCAGAATAACTAGTTGGTTTCAGTATAAATCAGCCCCGTCCAAGGTGCCTTGGAAATTTGGAGGCATTAGCTCTATAAATATATAGTTAATCTTGGTTAATTAGAAATTGATCAATGGCTTCAGAATAACTAGTTGGTTTCAGTATAAATCAGCCCCGTCCAAGGTGCCTTGGAAATTTGGAGGCGTTAGCTCTATAAATATATAAGTAATCTTGGTTAATTAGAAATTGATCAATGGCTTCAGAATAACTAGTTGGTTTCAGTATAAATCAGCCCCGTCCAAGGTGCCTTGGAAATTTGGAGGCGTTAGCTCTATAAATATATAAGTAATCTTGGTTAATTAGAAATTGATCAATGGCTTCAGAATAACTAGTTGGTTTCAGTATAAATCAGCCCCGTCCAAGGTGCCTTGGAAATCTGGAGGCATTAGCTCTATAAATATATAAGTAATCTTGGTTAATTAGAAATTGATCAATGGCTTCAGAATAACTAGTTGGTTTCAGTATAAATCAGCCCCGTCCAAGGTGCCTTGGAAATTTGGAGGCGTTAGCTCTATAAATATATAAGTAATCTTGGTTAATTAGAAATTGATCAATGGCTTCAGAATAACTAGTTGGTTTCAGTATAAATCAGCCCCGTCCAAGGTGCCTTGGAAATTTGGAGGCATTAGCTCTATAAATATATAGTTAATCTTGGTTAATTAGAAATTGATCAATGGCTTCAGAATAACTAGTTGGTTTCAGTATAAATCAGCCCCGTCCAAGGTGCCTTGGAAATCTGGAGGCATTAGCTCTATAAATATATAAGTAATCTTGGTTAATTAGAAATTGATCAATGGCTTCAGAATAACTAGTTGGTTTCAGTATAAATCAGCCCCGTCCAAGGTGCCTTGGAAATTTGGAGGCATTAGCTCTATAAATATATAGTTAATCTTGGTTAATTAGAAATTGATCAATGGCTTCAGAATAACTAGTTGGTTTCAGTATAAATCAGCCCCGTCCAAGGTGCCTTGGAAATTTGGAGGCGTTAGCTCTATAAATATATAAGTAATCTTGGTTAATTAGAAATTGATCAATGGCTTCAGAATAACTAGTTGGTTTCAGTATAAATCAGCCCCGTCCAAGGTGCCTTGGAAATCTGGAGGCGTTAGCTCTATAAATATATAAGTAATCTTGGTTAATTAGAAATTGATCAATGGCTTCAGAATAACTAGTTGGTTTCAGTATAAATCAGCCCCGTCCAAGGTGCCTTGGAAATTTGGAGGCATTAGCTCTATAAATATATAGTTAATCTTGGTTAATTAGAAATTGATCAATGGCTTCAGAATAACTAGTTGGTTTCAGTATAAATCAGCCCCGTCCAAGGTGCCTTGGAAATTTGGAGGCGTTAGCTCTATAAATATATAAGTAATCTTGGTTAATTAGAAATTGATCAATGGCTTCAGAATAACTAGTTGGTTTCAGTATAAATCAGCCCCGTCCAAGGTGCCTTGGAAATTTGGAGGCGTTAGCTCTATAAATATATAAGTAATCTTGGTTAATTAGAAATTGATCAATGGCTTCAGAATAACTAGTTGGTTTCAGTATAAATCAGCCCCGTCCAAGGTGCCTTGGAAATCTATCTTGCTAGCTATCTTCCTCAGTGTGGTAGGGACAACCCTTCTGACTACTGGCTGTCTCATGCTCTCTGGACACGTAGACGTCAAGCACTTCCCTCCAAACAGAACCTGGCCCATGATAGTCTTAGGTATCATTTGTTTTTTTTTGTCAAATGTTACTTGTGGTTCACATTAGCCGTACATGAAACCATTTGTTATATAACCTAACTCCGTTTTTACAGTCGATTTTTGGACCTATATAATTTATTGCAATAATAATTATTTTTTTGCTTCCTTATTGAGCGAATCTTTAGAAAAAATTTTAAGGTCGATCAGTCAAAATTGTATGTTGTAATTTGGTATCAAAATTGACACTTTGGACGATGAATGTGCTGAGTTTTTAAAAAAGGGACGGGGTTGATACGGCTGTCAAATCCCCTCCCGCCTTCTCTAAATCCGCCCATGATTTCATGTATTATTTACCTGATAACTGTAACTTACTAATAGTAACTAACAGCTACATAGTCAATTTTGTACTTTTTGTTACAGTTGAATTCGGGAAATAAAGAATTGTTCTCAATCGAATTTGTTTTTTGTTGTTGTTGTCCAGGTGCGATCATGTTCATCCCTGGAGTGTATCACGTGAGGGTGGCCCTCATGGCCTGGTGGGGATACGAGGGATACTCCTTCGACGACATCCCCGACTACGACTGACTCACTCACTGAGTGGCTGACTCGCAGCAACACGAGACACGACAAGAGAACTTACCATATTTGGAAAGACTTAAATCGAGGAGTGCAATGCTGCAATGGGCCGAATTTGAATGATGATTGCAGCTTTTTGTCAGTTATGTAATAGTAGTCTTTAGGACGCGGACGAAAGTGAAGGAAGTTCAAAGATGATGCAATTTAATGGTCACAAAATGTTACATATTGTCAGCTTAGAATAAAGGTTTTGAAGGTTAAAGTAAAATTTGGATGTTCCGTGCTGCAGTAGAATTAATTCATGTCATTGTTTCCTATTTGGATAACGATTGTTTCGTTATTTCAAAAGTCATATCATGTCATACTTGTTTGTATTGTGTTTATGTATAAATAACTATTTTCTCATTAGTATTTAATTTTTTTTGGGTATTTAATTTGACTTCTTTTTTGCAGTAGGTTATGAATGCAAAGCTAATGAATGGTCACAATTGAATTTTTTAGTTCTAGTTTTTTGATTTATTAACTTGAATGTTTTTTTTTCACCTATTTTGAGATGTACCACTGTAAATGTTGAACAGAATCCTAATTGGGGTTCAAGATTTGCCGCATATTACTCTCTTCTTAAATTTAATTGAAAATCAATAAAAAAACTGAAATTTTCCAGGGTGAAATGGACACAGGGTGAACTTGATTGCACATGAAATCTAATACGACCACATAATACCCTTGACCCTTATATTTGTCATCGACCTTTGATCACGTGGTCTCACCATGGGCAGTGATGGTGACATGGAGATAAGTCACGTGATATTCGACATGGATGGACTGTTGTTAGACACAGAGAACATCTATTCGGCTGCCACTCAGAAACTATGCGACAGGTGAGCAGTATTTTCAAGCTCAAGTTATCTCAGCTTGCCTGTTATAATTCATTTATGGGCTGTTAATTGATAGTAAAACGTACGTTAAAACATTTGGTGGCATATAAACCAGCCGAAAAATAAACTAGCCGAAAATACGTAAGTGGAATATATACTAGTTATGCAACAATTGCGTAACAGTTATTGAAGTTTCATCAATAAGATGTAACTTTTCGGCTGATGTATATACTTTGCACATTTTCGGTTGGATTATACTTCGGCTGATTTATTTACCTCCAAAACATTTGATGCTGTTTTTTTAAACACATTTCTGATCAATAGATGTATATTAATATTTCTTAAACAAGTTTTGATTTTATCATGTTTATAACCTTACTTTTCCCATGAGCCCAGGTTGCCTTGGCAACCACAAAACTTCTGACGCTTATTTCAAATGACAATCATAATCTGATTTTAGAAAACAGTTAAATAATTTGGTCGCCTCGTCAACTTATATAAATACATAACGCGATGGGAAACGATGATGCGGAAATAAGCTTTGAAGAGAGAAATGACCTTGATATAGGTGCTAGTTAACATGGTTGCTCGTTCAATAACACTAGTTTATTTGATTGGCCTCTTGTATATTTGATTCGCTAAGATGTGTAGCGTGGCAATCAAAGTACCTAAAGAGTCGTTTTTTTTATTTTTTCCTTATAAATTCGGTTGACCAATGTTTCAGTTTTTGTAAGAGAGAGCAGTAAGTAGTAGATGTTGAGGCTAAGGGGGGGGGGGGGGGGGGTGCGTGGACCCTATGTTTTAAGGTACGTCATAGATTTCGGGTCAGAAGTGATTTACATATTTTCTTTGTAATTTAATTTTTTTCTCTCAAAAAACTCAATTTTTTGAAGTTTCAGTAGGTTTCAGCATAGTTTCAAAAAGTAAGATTATCTAATAAACTTACCATTGACTTACCATGAACCAAAAAACATAATTAATACCTTTATTTCACAACCTACGCATAATTAACCATTGATATTTACCAATTAGATAACGCGCGCCGAAATTTTTGCGAAAAACTAGACATTTCTACTCAAAATCCAAAAAAATACCGTTTTTCTTACCATTCTCTTACCATCACACAAACCATGAAACCTTACCAATTATATTCACTATCTTAATACATTGTAGACTCTATACCCAATGTTAATACATAGCGAGGCTGACCCGAAATCTATAACGTATATAGATTTAGCCCCAATATCTACTACTGCAATATTTTTAAGGTGCTAAATAGTTAAACTAGTACCTTGATATCTGGTTTGTTTTTTTTTCAAAAGGTGTTGAATACATATAGCATTGATAGTGAAAAACTACAGTTTAGGTTCGGCAAGATATATTCGTTTGACATCAAGAGACAGATTATGGGTATGCGTGGGAATGAAGCCTCACAGGCCATAATAGACAAACTGCAGTTGGACATCTCGCTGGCTGACTTCATGGCAGAAATAGAAGCAGTGAGTGAAATGTCGGTCCGGTTTTATCGCCTGATTTAACTATCTTTTTTTACCAATCTCAGTCGAGAATATTGTTGCGACGCAAATATTGTTGCGATAAAATGTATTCATTTTAAAAGTGTTCCTTTAATCAATAACCAGCTATTAAGTACAGCCAAAGCTAAAGATTTTAATACAGACTATTTTTGTTCCGACTTTCCTAACGAAAGTAACGGAATATTTGTGCTCGGGGTGGCTTTTTTTTCTTCAGACACAATTTGACTTTTTAACTAGCCATTTTTGACGGAAATTTTAAAAAATCATTCGAAAGCTATTGTTGTTCTGAACTGAAATTTGAAAAAATATTCTACCTGTGATCATTTTTCGTAAAGTTATGGGGGTTTAGATATTGCCATTTTGGCCAATTTGGGACAATTAACGAGCGATATATTTCGCGCTATTAACGCGTAAGCGAGATTTGATCCGTCATAGAAATCATTCCAAATTGGTTGAAGGAAGCTTATTTGCCATAATTGATTTGTTACTAGGAGCGAAATTTATCACTTTGTACTTGATATGGCGTGAGGGGGATGATTTTCACAAAAAAAATCTCAAATTGAAAAAAAATTGCTTTATATTTTTATTGCATTTAATTTTTTCATGTTATTACAGCTCCATAGACTGCTCTATAAATAGAGGCACGTTAGTTGGTTTTTTTTTTTCAATTAGACTGGTACTGCTAATGCGTCATAATTGGCGTTCGTCACTTAAGAAATTTTGCAGACTCAAAGTTTAACTCATTTAGTTTTTCCCAGTAGTGTTATCGGTCATTTTTTTGCTTTTGTATGCGGAGTGCAACTTCGCCTCTGTGTAAAGCGCTATTTATTACCCTTGCGATAAGCAAAGGTATTGCAACCGAGTACTAGACTTTTTTCTCCCGCAAATAACTTTGCTCACAGAATTGTTTTTTCGAATAAGTTTTTTGAAAATTCATAATATTTTTTGGATAAGTGATTTTCGGCCTTCAGACGGTTCATTTTCCGTTTTTAATATAACATTTATGTTATTTGGTTCTAATTTGTATCGGCCTTCTTTGTAAAGCAGAAATTTTGTATTGATTTTGTTTTTTTTCAAATATAATTGAAAATTAATGTACTATAATTATTATTTTGTACTATAATCAAAAATCTTCTTTTTTTTATAATTTTTATAAGTTCTGTAATTTGTCATTTACCAAGTCTGATTTTGAATATTTTTTCATGTTTTTTTTTCGACTAATGGGTTCAGCTTTTATTGTATCCGGCTCGGTTATTCAGCGCCTCTTTTGTGCAGTTTCGACGGCCAAAAAATTCTTGTTCGACAAAATGAGATATTATCAAATAAATCGGATTGAGTTTTTTTACTTTTTGAGATGCTGTCGAATTTGTTTTTCACTTCAACAAAAATTTTAGTGCAGTAGAAAACTACTCTACTGAATTCCAGTAAAAGGCGTATCAATGGAACTACCTTCTCTCGGGAATGGAAATCCCATGTGTGCATGCATAATATTTGACCCATTTTTCCAGATTTTTTATTTTCTTAAAAACTGCCCTCCTTGATCTGAGATTTTGGGTTCAATGGATAGAACGAGTTATGGGAAACTTCTCTGCATAAGCGGCTGCGCAAAATTGTTTCTGCACAAAGTTATGCCCCTGGGAATAGTCAAATATTTGATTTTTTGACCGTTTATTGATTGTTTTTGACTTTTTTGGAAACTATCCGCGCAAATTCGAGATTTCGCACTGAATCCAAAGAAAGGTTTGTGGGAAGGTTTTCTGCTTGTGGGGCTACGCCAAATTCTTTACATCAAAAGTTATGGCCCTCGGAAAAGTCAATTTATTACCGTTTTCTGAATTTTTTTGACGTTTCTCGAAAGGATTGTTAGAAGCTCCTCATAATCGACTATACCCATTTGTTCTTACATAAAAGTTAAGGCCCTCGGAAAAATCCATAAATGATTTTGTAAAATTTTCTTAAACTATTTGAAATTTCTCGAAAACTAACCTTCTTATTGTAGAAAAAAATTAACAAAATTAGCAAAATTAATCAAAGCAAGAAAATTATTCAAACAAAGGAAAAATATTTAGACTTAGAAATATTTTGCAGCAGCCTGAGAAATTTTTGTTCAGCCTGTTTTGCAGTACCCTGGCGTCTTTAGTGTGAGTTTTGGGCTCTAAATTACTGAGTTTTTCTTTTGTGCTAAAGGTAAACAAACTGGTACTGTTGCTCACGTGAAAACATTACAAGTTTTTCTCCAACTTAGGTTATCTAACTGACATCTATACACCTATAATAAGGTTAGTATTTCAGACTTTGCCAGAGATGTTCAAAGTTGCCAGTAGTATGCCTGGAGCTGAAAAACTAGTGAGACATCTACACGCACACAACATCCCAATAGCAGTATGCACAGGGTCGAACCAGGTCAACCTGGGCCTGAAGACAACAAAACACAAGGACATGTTCACACTGTTTCATCATGTGGTCACGTGTTCTGATGATCCACAAGTACAGTTTGGCAAGCCACACCCACAGCCCTTTCAAGTCACTCTGTCCAGGTTGGAAGCAATCAATTCTGAGCGTGAATAGTTTTTTTCTACAGGTAGAATTTTCATGTGATATCAAGATTTCTGCTGCACTAGTGGTACAACATGAAAGATCTAGACTGAAAAACAGCCTTGAATTGCAAAAAAAGACATTGGCTCAGCAACTTTTTTCAGTCTGGAATGTGAGAATATATTGTTAGAAACGAACTGTCCTTCGGCAGGCTTAACAGCCTTTGATAGCTCCTCTGATTTTTTCATATAGTCCTGAATCCTTTTCAGGCATTTTTTTTTTGATAATTGAAACTTTGAGGCAATTCGTGTTCTTTTACATTTTCCCTGTGAAGACCAGATTGACCTATCTGATAACGAAGGTGCTAAAATTTTAAAAAGAATGATTTGGGAATTGTAATCATGTGTGGTTATTTTCTTAAAAATAAATCATGTGTGGTAAAAAAAAATCACTTGTTCTTGGCAATCTTTTCAAGTTTCATTGAAAACTTTTTTTGCTCAAAAACAGGGCGATCAGTGGACAAAATTGACATCCAGTTATTACCAGCTGGGACCCTTGTATGACAAAGGGATCATTTTGATATTGAAAACCAGCGTATTGTCATCGCTTTTTCAAATCGCCGCTTTTTTAACTATCGCTTTTTATCAAACTGCACCGCTTGCTCGCTTTATACTTTTCTAATCTTTTTTCCATAAAAGGTTTTTCACAATGGGAAATTTTTAAATTCTGAATACTTGAGGTTTTTGGTTCAAAATCTTGAAGTACTCAGTATTTGTAATTAAAACTTGGATCTACTTAACAATCTCCCCCCTATTGTACCTACTATTGAAAGGGGGGGGGGGGAGGAATTGTTAATTAGGTCCTAAAACTTCATTGCTAATGGTTTCAGGTTTGACGCCGCAGACACAATCAAACCGCACAAGGTGCTCGTATTTGAAGACTCTCCCAATGGAGTCCTGTCTGCAAAGGCCGCCGGAATGAGGACAGTGATGGTTCCAGATCCCAGACTAGAACAAGAGTTTCGCCAGGATGCTGACTTGGTACTAGAAACACTTCTGGACTTCACTCCTGAACGGTGGTCTTTGCCTCCTTACGAGAAATAAATACTGCTTCAATAAGCAGTAAAAGAGAAAGTAAACTTAATGCAGTTTCAAATCGAACTGTTATATCTATGAAAAACCATAAGCTGTCCTCCCTTGCTACGGGTGTTATCCAAGAGGTCTAAAAGTTTTTTTTGTGGGCCAATGAAAGAGTGAACTTTAGTTCACGTGGTCTTTAATTTATCTTGTTAGGATCATTTTGCTATTTGGGTGGTTTGTTCGTTTCTGTCGAAGTTTATTTTTAAAATATAGGTTCGAAGAGTATAAAGTTATGGTTGTTTTATGTGACAAAAGACACAGTCCTTATTCGTTTTGTATAACGAGGTAGTTTTCCGACCAACGAGGTCCGTGTTTAGAGGTAGTCTCGGTATGGTCTACTGATTTCGTGGACTAATTTCAAATCCGATTAAGAACTTAATCGTGTTTTCATCTAATTGTCCATTTTTGTCCACCATTCTGTTTCCTTAATTGAAGTAATTTAGAGGGCAGGGTGCCGCTCTTTGACCTTTGCACCCGCTTAGAAAAAAGTTTTTATACCGTTGCTGAGTATTAAATCGCCTGCGAACACAATCGGCTTGCAGGCGCTACTAAATAGAGCGACCGCATGGGTCCTTTGTTTATTTGGAGAAAAAGCATCCAAGAAAACAGTCATTAGACGGTGTGTAGGGAAAACGGTTCAACGTTTGCAGATTTTTTTCCCGGATGTTACAGTCAATTATCTATAGCCAGCAAGTGAAGAGCTTTTTGTCATTTTATGGCATTTATTATGAGGGGAATGATCCGAAAATAAGAATGTGTAATTAGGGGTCCGACAAATCGGCTCAGATATAAGACCTTATTATAGAACTTTTACTTGAATAGTATAAACTTTCGATCCTCATGCTAGCTATCTAACAAATGCACATATGAACGCCCTCAGTTATTTGTGCACTTTTTGAATGCATTCCAAGTTAATTTGCTATATCCGCGTCTATTTCATAGCTCTGCACCACAATGACTGGTATCGCTCATCGCAGGGTATCCAATTTAAGCTGGACTTTAGTGGAGCCCAAAACATCAACGTCTCTGACATATTCTTCTGATGTCTCTAGTAGCGTTCCACCAAAAGGGAGAATCGGCGGACGCGGTTGCAGCATCTCGAAGGCATCGAATCGCAGAAGGTTGCAGACCAGTTCGTCATCTAACTCTGTTTTCATGTAAAACCCGTTTGCGAAAGTATTCACAAACTTTCTACGAGGTACCTCCGAGCCTGTAGTTCTATGTACGTCTTCCACATTCTCTTCTAAGGCTTCCACTTTACCCTCGTTGGGCGTGGAAACGAAGACTCGGGTTATTCATTGATGGTACACCCTCTTACGCTGCCCGTCAGTCCCTGCTCCGAAAAGTCACACTCAACAGCATCCCTAATGGTGCCCACCACTGTCCGCTGAGTCGTCCATAGGTGTCTCTCTCCGCCTTTATGCTCGAAATTTGGGGCCTTTAGTTCACTGCTCTCGCCCCAAACAACATCAAAACTGTGTTGCATCGGTTCTTCGGTGGTCACCTCAACCGTCCCATCACTTCAGTCCTCAGCACCCCTTTTGGACGTTCGAAGAGCATCCCATGTCGTTCTTCTAAATGTTTGAGGCTCAAGACCATGTCGACTTCTATTTCAGAGGCCGCCACAACATCCAGTCGGTCCGTTAATGTCCCAATCAGTATATCAACTACTGTCTGACCCAAAAGAACTACATCACTAATCTGGTCGTCCCATATCTTGAGTTTGCCGTTGAACGCTCCAAGTGGAGAACTTCCAGAGTTATGAAAGCGGAAATGTTCATCAAGTGAACCCCATCTGTCTCATCCAGTTCCATACGGACTAGAAGGTTGTCCACAAACCCATCGATGAAATGCTGCTCCGGACACACCTCGCACGAACCCAATTGTAGCAGCCCACAATTGCCCGTTCGATCTTCATCTTCTTCACGACTCCTATCACTGGCCATCGACAGCTCGGGTTGGACTGTTGTGGACCGCTCGTCGACCATACTTGTGTATAGCGTCTTCGATTCATTACCGTTCTTCCCCTCTTGCAACGTTGTTTTCAATTTCGTGCCAACTATCCCTTCATCCAGTGCTATTGTCACCATATTCGGTAGCCTATCGAACGTTAATGGGACTGACTGCATAGCATCACTCTCGTGGCAGATCATTGATTTCCTCTGGTTCACATTAGGCCATAGCGCTCTTTGAGTTCCTGAGCACGGATGACCACATCGTCGTCAAGCTCGCTGTTGCACATTTCCTTGAAGCTTCCAATCTCGACCATCGCCCTGAGGTGTCCAATTGCATTTACCTTTCTTTCTTTTCCGAAAAGTAAACCCACTGGGACACATCAGGTTCCCTTTAAATTGCAATCGGTCGTATTGGCAATCTCGATATCCGCTACTTCGTCGCAAACTTTGCCCCATACGTCAGCTAGCCGCTTTTCCGCCCGATCGGATCTGGGTTTAATTTTTTTCCTTTCGGCTTTCTGCGATCCTCGGAGTGGGCCATACTCTGCCACATCTTGCTTTCGTCCAAAGGAGGGCCAATCTCTTTCAGTACTAACACTGAGCTACCATCCGCATAAATACAACGCCGTTGACAGTCCAGTCTGATTTTCGATTTTCTTCTCAGCGTGCTGAGACTAATCAACATTGGTCTGAATAAGTTCTACTTTCTCAGTTATAGCAGCTATCTCCAGCTTCATGAAAGTTCAGCCATGAATGACAGCACCGTCTTGTCTTGTCTGGGACCGCCGTAGTTCCACAATTCTTTTCTCGGATGTATCATTCTGAACTCAACGTAGTTGATCCAGTTGAGTTGCCCTCACTTCCCTGTTCGGCTCCCAATAGAACACTTCGTCTGCTGCTAAGCAGTCCCGGTCCAGTTTTTGGCTTGTTTCAATCAATTCCGTCTTTAATGCTCGTCGTTGCTCAACCCATAGATCGTTAGTCACTCGGTAATGAAAGCCCACCTAGGAGTGCCAATGTAGATTTTGTGGGAGAGTCGTCTCCTTCAAGCACGTTCTCATTCTGATTAACGGCCGCAGAGTTCCTCCCCTTCATACCGTGTAAAAGCGCGGGACTTTAAGACACGATATTATCCACAATCCCCAAAGGGTTATGTTGGTAGTCAGACTAAAATGGCCAATCAGAGGATTACGCAACTTTCTCCTTAGTTTATGCTCTTTTCGGCTCTCCTCTTGCGTTTCTAGCTAATTCAGCAAATCGTGGGCACAATAAAAAAGATCTCGATTACGAAGAATATAAAAGCAATTTACAATACCCCTAATGAGCCATTTACTATTTAACAACTTCTATAACGAAGCCCGCCTTTCGTTCCATTCAATCGCTTTGTTAACTCGCTTGACGCAGTTGTAAACTCGTCTTCTCCAGCAGCGCAACTCGCTCACACAAATAGTTCAACCCGGTACTTAACTCGGGTTCAAATCAGCTAAACTAATTAGCTAACAATTAAGAGAAATAACTAGCCTCGCTTCGAGCAATATCGTCTTGCACGGACCAACTGTTCTTCTCTGCTTGATCAATCTTTGTCTCTCTAACTGAGAACCAACCATTCGCTCTTATAGCATAAGTGTTTTCTTACTCCGAGAAGCAGCGATTCGACTCCCTGTCAATAATTGTTCTAGTCACTGGCCTTCCAGTACCCATCAGTTCCTTATCTTTTATCAATCTTTTCACGCTTGTTTGATATCCGGTATACGGTAGGTGCAACTTTTTGACCTAGCAAACAAATGTCATAATGATCCTAATCAAACAATTCTTGACTTCCTTGAACTTTAGCCCTCAAGTTCAACTCAACCTCCAAACCATGCTATGTTTTCTTAATGACCCTCTCAACGAAATTATTTTATCCCGTTAACATTCTGACGTCCGTTAACATTCTGACCGAGGATATGGGAGACCCTTTTATGGGTAGCTGCTTCGTTTCAATATATCCTTTTTAGCTTATACCTCCTTTCTCAGTAGATAAGTTTTCTCCCAAAAATTAATAAGGTGACCAATTCTCAGTCCCAAGGAATTGTGCCGGGGAAAAACGTCCTTTTCCGGTGTTGATCTCAGGTTTTTTTTATACAACTTTGGGGTCACACATTCTAAACGTCAACTGTAGGTCACCCGGGTTCAAACTTCCATATTTGGTTTTAAAACCCCATGGGGTTCCTAACTACCAAAATTCATACATATCCCATTAATACTATCCGAGTTATCCCATTGCTAAGGTCCATTATCACTTCCCGGAAAAGGGCTATTAACTCCGGAAGGAGCCGCCGGAGGGGTTTTACTCACTAGGGTTCTTTTTCCGATGGTCGTATCTTATGTCTACTGCCGCAATAAAATCAATATGCCCTCCCCATTATTTTGCGTAAATTGCCTATTCCCGGTCTAGGGGAGGGTTTTTTCAAGGGCTAATAGCTTCTGATCGAACCGTTGGAAACGGTTCAAATTGTAACACAAGATGTATTGCCACTACCTATCATCCCTCCAAGTTTCATCTCCTGGCGTTCGTTGGGGGCTGAGAAACCATTTTCGGAAGTTAGGGGTGGGTCTGATCATTTAGGACATAACACCGGAAGTGGGGATCTTTGGATTCTGGGGTTGTAATATTAAATTTCCCCCAACTAGGCCTACAACATACTAAAAATTGATCCCAAAACTGCCGCTAGTTGCCGAGTTCTGATAGGGCAATTATCACTTGCCCACCATTGGACTGAGGGGTCCCGTATGCACGCGTTTTTCGTATGCACGCGTCAAATCATTTCTAGGACCTCTCCTCTGAGTTTCATAACGCTAGCTTTCATAGTTCCCATTTGGGGGGAGGTTTGCCGATTTTTTAAAATTTTTGTCTGGCCTATGAGTGACGAATTTTTCGAAACTTGAACTTCTCTGTGCTCGACCATTTGTTTGCTGTACTACTTAACTTAATGACTTAT